ATTGTATTAAATTTGAAAGTCTGCTGTTAAAAATTAACTAGGGAATTTTCATATTTAACATATTTTTTTAAAAATCTGAACTCCTAACACTAATAAAAGTAACTTTGTCTTGTGTCCATCGATATTTTGAATTTAACATCATTTCACAAAGAATTTTGTGTTACATTTTTATAACTTTTTTCCTCACCAACTAAACGCTTTCTATGTAGATATAAACACTACATCATCACTACATCTCAAAAACGACAAGACGTATGAACTTGAAATTTTAAATAGTGGTTCCTCCCCATTTCCAAATGAGCATTCTCTAGATGTGCAATAAGAATAGATTTTAAGAAATACGCATTTTAAAGATGGGAATTTTATTTCGCCAATAAAAATCTAATATTTTTTTCTTAAATTATAGAATATTTTGACAATAATGTACCTAATACCTATTATATATATTTTCCCAACTATCATGGAAACTTGGGATATATATAGTTGGCGGGGGATTTATTTGGAAAAACCTTGATTTTCTAATCGGTAATTATGTGTCACCTGTTTTAGGGTTATTGCACAGCTCTGGAAAATTGACTCTCATACAATTAAAAAATCTTCGATCTTATTTTAGATTCTGAGCGGAGCGATGAATGTATTGATTTTACAATAATGTGTGTTTTTTTAATTTTAATTTTTTAAGAATGTGAACACGATAGGTAGTTGAAATAATGTTCGATTTTCAACTTCAGTCTCTTGTTTCATGGGAAAGTGTTGATGCATTGGGGAAGTCATAATATTCCCATTTGTGTTCAAAAGCGCAGGGAAAACCAAAGAAAATAGTTAATAGGAAAACCGGGAATTTTTAAGCTAAATCGGTTTTCAACAAAATCGAGTTTAGTTTATGGTGTAACTCTAAAACAAATGACCGTAGATAATTGGAATTTTCCGTGGTTGTTTTTATTAGAATTTTCTATTCACGATAAAATTTTCTAAATTATTGAATTGTTTTGAACTGTTTACGGACATTTTCAGTTTCCGATTTTATAAGTTTTTTTTCTATGAATGTCAATAAAATGTTATTTGTTGGGCCAAAAGGCGTCAAAATTTAATACAAAGCTTCTGATTTATTTGGTTAAATAGCAGTTGAAGAATATTACAAATATAATATATGCCCATGTGAAGTTCGATTTTTGACAACAGTCAACATTTATCAAATTTTAAATTTTAAAATAATTTTGTTGTTAAAAATGTATAAAATTCATAACATTTATCAAGTTCAACTTTTATAGATAAGGATTGAAAACTTACAACAAGGTTCCACGTAAGTAGGTCATTCTGTAACCAAAAAATCTCCAAAATATAAAAACAAATTTTTTTTAGTTATTTTATGTTCAAATGTTGAGGGAATTAGATATTAAATAACCAAGAATAACAATTACCTACAGCTATTTTGTTGACATTTTTATAATATTAATTCAACTTACCGGCTACCGTATTAATAATAAGTAATAACAATATAAATATAGTATAAAATATCCACACTCACAAACCGTCACTGCTTAGAATTGTTTTTCGTATACCATCCATTATTCAGTGACCCACTTGTAACCTACTGTACAGCAGAGCGACATCCACTTTCCCACCTTTTTATTATTGTTTTTCCTTTTATTTATATGTTATATCACAAATTAAAAGAATTTAAATTGTATATTATAAGCTGTAATTTTTAAACGTAGGTACCTACTAGGTACACAATTAAATGTAATATTGCATGAAACACGCACAGATACATTAGGCTGTCTGTCTGCCTGTCTGGGAAACTAGGCTTCAAACACAGATGAACTGATTTTGACAGGTATTGTTTTTACCTGTATTTGATGTTTGATCAAATCAACCAATATTATATAAAATATGTTGATCATCATATCGACATATCCTGTTTATATTGAATGCTAATAAAAATATTTGATGATAAATAATAGTTATGACAGTTATGCATTTTTGAACGGTTATTCATTTTTTTTATTAGTTTTTCGTGATTATTTTGAAAAGTATTGAGCATTTTTTACATTATAAATTTTATTTATACAATTTTCTACCAGAAACCACACTCAAAGTTAAATATTGAAACAAAAAATACATTTAAAAACATAAATTATCGTAAATTCAATATAGTTAGGGTAGGTTAAATATTTTATTGATCAATGTATTTACCTAGTATTTTCATTATTCGTAGTATAATAGTTATATACAGTGTCAGACTTCAAAAAGGATTACCGAGCATTTTAGTTTAAAGTCCTTTCGAAAAATTGTACTTGCCAGAGATTACCAATGTATGGTATGACATTGTTCATTAATGACGGTGCTCCCACAAACTTAAATGTTGTATGATTTTGTAAATCTATTTCCAACTAAAATAATAAAAATTATGTATATACTATACAATAGCACAAGCGCAGAATGTTATTCTTGTGTATAGGTACCATGGTCCATGGAAATCATATTGAAATGATCTGCACAAAGCTATAGCTGCTTGAAACCACATTTGTCCAGCCATCTAGGTGCTATAAAGTTTATTATATAATTTGATTTCATATAAAATATTATAAATTAATAATCATAAAAATATAATACAATTAGTAGGTATACAACTTTTATATTATAATCAGTATTCAGTAATCACCATAATCATTGATTAGAAAGAATGGGAACAGATGGTAATTTATATTATCTACAACAGTACAACTGTTTATATAAGATCTAAGGAACTGTAAACATCATCAAAAATATTTTGTGATAACACTGTTACTATTGCTTATGTGTAACTACGTACGAGTCACGACCACCGACCACGATTTAAGATACCTACCTACACATTTTTTACGACTCGCGAAGTGAATGAATTCTTATTAAAATATGAGTTAAGACAATATGTCAGTAAACCAAATTTAATGTAGTTTTAGAGATTTTACGTCACAACTGTAATGAATGTTTTATTTTAAATACACGAAAAAATGATTACAACCATCCATACGAAAATACAATAGCCGAGCACAACAAATATAATCGAAGAACAAATCATTTTTTAACAGATAACTAATTTAAAGGTAAAATTTATTTTGAATATTATGTTATTCATTGCACATCACTCAACTGTTTAAGAGCTTATGACTTGGTCGATCGTCCGTTGACACTTGACACCCTTTTATGCTTTAAAGGATCATGCATTTTTAATCATTAGAGACGGTTGGTCATCTCCTTAAATATGCCTATGGGCTATGACCTGTTATGCCATTTAACTCCTGTGTAATTAAAGTTTATCAAAATTTTCAATTAATTTTTCAACTTGTATGTATTTTAATTAAATTGAGTATACTAACCCATAATAGTATATAGGTACCTAGTACCTAGTACAATACTATAACATAATATAGGTTATGTTTTAACTATTATTTTGTTATTTTCTTGGTCTACTTTAAAATGCAGGTATAATATTTTTAAAAATACTGAATACAGATGTTACATCATATTTTAATTTGCCTCTTGTATCATGTTTATTATATATCAATTAAAATTCTATTTAACTGTAAAAATATTACTCCCTATGCCCTCACCTTTTTTTTTTATTATATCAAACTTAAAAGTTCATGTTAAAAATCTTAGTCCTAAATTCTATGATCATTAATAACTGAAGATAGGCTCAATGAACTATCTTCATAAATAAAAATAAATCTGAAAAAAGTCTCAATACTTAACAAAAATTCTTCTAGTTTTTGCTAAAAAAGTTCCTAGAAGTCTTCTATAGCTAATGGATTATGCAAAATTGCAAAATAATTATTAAAAATCTGGGAACTCGCTCTGCTGTATTGTAGATTTCAACAGGAGCATAGTGGCTCTAGAATCCTTACCGGGAAAGCAGATATTTCAGGTCACTTACACCACTTAAAATTTATCCTACTAGTAATAATATGGATTATAAGTACAGGGCAGTTTAAATTTGTGTTTGGAATAAGTTTTAAACTTGTACATTTGATCACCACACATTTCCTCCATGGTATCAACCATCATAATATTGAAACCAAAAAACTTTCTGTGAGCACTATTAGGGGAGCACCCAGGATTTATTCTTTATTTGGGGGGGGCTTAAATAAAATTTTTAAATCTGAAAGTACGCGATTGCACGGTCTTATGCTCCGCACCACGAAAGAAGGAACCCTCTTCTCGACTGAAACATGTTCGATTCCTCGCATTGCCACGCATTTGACATACACGTCTTAATGGCACAAAGTGGGGAAACGCCTACAGTCTGCATGTACAAAACAAGTTCTTTCTCTCGTGGCGCGGAGTATAGTTAGATAGATGATGATTTTTTTATATCAGTAATTTAAAGTTGATACCTAATAAAGTTACCAAAATGTTAGTGGCCAATAATTTTTTTTAGGTGGGCTAAGTCTTTTAGCCCCCCTCCCCCCTTGGGTGTGCCCTTGAGCACTATCCACACAATTAAATTACCCCATTAATCTATACTTAATTCTATAAATTTGTTCTGTAAATTAAATTTTAACCATCTACTTTTGGAAATTCTGACAAATTATAATTCAAATACCTAATTTATAAATATCATCACCAAGACCCAGAATAAGTATGCTTAACAGTTTAACGTTATAACTTAAGTATACGCTTAATAAAGAAAAAAAATTGTGCTCATATATTTCTGATAATTTCAAATTGATTATAAACTATTCTTACGAGGATCCACGTGACCTCGTGTTACATTCTTATGGTTTTTACTTTTAAGTTGTATGAAAAAATTCCCCATCACAAACCCAGAATCCTAGCCATGCCACTGATTACAGATATACCAAATACAGTTAAGATTTATAGTTATATAGATTATATATTTATATCTGTATAAAAATACAAATGTCATCAACTTACCTTGTAAACTTAACATAGTTCTTATTTTGGTCATTACAGAATTCAATTAGAAAATCACACGGTTCCATTTATCAATAAATATGGATGTTAAATTGAGTTTAATCCTTATGCTATCATTGCCATTAGTAACACCTATACGTTGGCTTATGCATCCGAATACTCAAAAATGTTTACGCGAAGAACTCAGACAAAATGTATTAGTCAAAGGTGATTATGAGATTGCACCAATTGATGGTCAATTTATGGATTATATTGTGAGGGATTCTAAAGGACACATCTTAGCTAATAAACAAGACATTACTAAAGGAAAGTTTACGTTTAGTACTGAAAATTATGATATGTTTGAAATTTGCTTTACCTCCCGTGTACCTGGGTATCAACGAGGAGTTTTGCAGGAGGTTGCATTAAATATTAAAACTGGTGTTGAGGCAAAAACATATGAAGGAATTGGAGAGGTGGCTAAATTGAAACCTTTGGAATTGGATCTGAAAATGTTGGAAGATTTATCATCGTCTATTGTTCAAGATTTTTCTGACATGAAGCACCGTGCCGAAGAAATGCGTAATACAAATGAATCAACAAGCAGAAGAGTTCATTGGTTTAGTATGTTTAGTATTATTTGTTTATTTGGATTGAGTGTATGGCAGATCTTGTACTTAAGGAGATATTTTAAAGCTAAAAAACTCATTGAGTAATATTAATTTGTTTCTATTAAAAATGTGTTTTTTTTCTCTTGCAGTCTTACATTAAAATATATATAAATTGTAATTGCAACACAATTTGTTTTAATACATTTTATATGCATGAATATATTTACATTTAATAAAAAAAATTCAATTAATTATGTTTTATCATTCCAATAGGAGTTATATAAAAAAATTATCATTACATTTTCTGATGTTGGATACTAAATAAATAGTATAACAGTGGCAAATGTCGAATCTGCAGTATGGGCATGTTCATATACAAACATTATCATACAGCCATACTTGGTGTAGATAAATATTATTTATTAATTAGGGAAACACAATTTAATGAGCATTGAAGATGCCCTGGGTGGTTAGTACTTAGTACAAATAGTACAATGGCACACGGTAACAATTCAACTCACTCTTATAACAGGGTAAAATAGATTATACTAAACGTACAATTGTAAATTTATATTAAGTGTTTGTAAGGCGGAGACAATGCATGCTGATAATTGATAATATAATTAAAATTGTACCAATGATGTTTAATAATCATTTGAGTAAGTAAGTACTTCATAATTTAACAAAACATTTTTTCATTATTACTAAAATACTACCTACCCTCTAAATAAATTGTTATTTATTATATATTCATGGACAAAGACTATTAGGGTGCTGTGATGTTCAAGCACCCCAAGACCCATTCCATGGGCTGCGAAAATAAATGAAGCAATATGTAATATAATATGTAAGCTACCCATAAATATATTTGTTAGATATGAAGTAAACTTTTTTAACCCTTTCACTGCTAGACTATTTATGCACTGCAACCTGTGTATGCTACGTAAATTAAAATATTAATTTTCTTTTTAAATTTAAATTTGATGCGAGCCCAGGTTTCCTAAGGTTGTACGGTTACCAGCAAATGATAATACTATTTTAAAACTTGAACTTTAAATGCTTATAAAAAAAATATTTATATACAGTAGTAGCTGCTTAATAGGAACACGGATAATTTATACAGTCGTGTTATTGATACAAAATGTAGTGTTACAGCCAAATAGCATATTAAAACAATGAAAAAACCTAACTTGCAAATTTTTTTTATCAATATTTTTTGAAAAAATTATAAATTCCAAGTATCTATAAGTAGCTCAAAAATATTTTGAAAATTTTAACTTGTATAGTAAATGGTCATTTAAACATTTTGTGAAAATTTAAAGTATCTCTACGGTTAATTTTTTTTGAGTTATTACGAAAATAAACAAAATCAATTTTGTCAAAAACTGGTTTTACGTAAAAGTTCCAGTTTTTTGTTATTTCCCACATATTTGAAGACTACTGAAAAATTTTGATTTTTTCCTTTCAAAGTATCAACTAGATCCAATTTTGAATTTGTTACCAGAAACCACCTACAAAGTTCAAAGTCGAAGCAACTAATTTTCATGTACACACCAAAAACAATACACACAGTATTGTAAAATCAATTCATATTTGAATGATTAATAATTTCTCTGCTGAGTATCTAAAACTGAAATTATTTAATAAGTATATATTATATTATTCTATAAAGTATCTTTTATTTTAAGTATTGATAATTTTATAAGAGAATATGAGAAGTAGAAACCATCAAAACATTCCTCTTTGTTGTTTGTTTCTTGCAGCATTTCTTCTGTTATGGTTCCCGCTGAATGCTTTGTTTTCATTTTTCCTCTGCCGGTCCAACTCAACATTTGATCCGGATGAGGTAGCTGATGAAGAAGCTGCTTGTGGTTTACCTAACATAAATACACACGTTTTCAAAATTTTTTCTTTTTTGGTTTTACTGGTAAATACTTACTTCGGTTGGATCTATTAGATTGCTTTGCAGCATATCTCCTAGCTTGTCGTTCTCGAACTTCTTCAGGATTTTCGCAGAATGGTTGAAAATTTAAAACTGGCTGTGGTTCATCATCTGAAAACTCTTCTTCTACAAATTCAGTTACAGCTTTTTTCTCTAATAAAACCCTTGGTGTAACATCTGGTCTTCTTTTTTCATTTTCGTCTGTTGGTTCTGGTATAACATATTCAACTTCATCATATGTGTCATCATATTCATCATTATAATACGACTCTAATTCAGCACATGTAATTTCTGTGAAATTATATTTTTCATAAAATGGCCGCATTTCTTTTCGGAAAGATTTATCGTCTAAGACTGCTTTCAGTTTTTTAAGTTTCTTGTTTCTAAATAAACATAAAATATAATATAAATACACATAAATTATCGCATATTGATACATGTTGTTATATTTCATTCCTTGAAATAATAAAGCCTACCCAGCTTACCCTTTAATTGAAGGATCATAACCAGAAGCAGTATCCTCATACTCTGTCATCAAAGGAAGATTAAATTCATACTGAGTAAGTTCTGGCGGAAGACAATCTTCCAAGACCATATTTATAACTTTTTCGGAATCCATGTCATAAAATTCTAAACATTTCTAAAAAACGAAGAAACATCAAATATAATTAAATTTTAGAATTAAATATTTAGAATTAACTAACCTGGATGAATCCATCTCCCAAATGGGGTAGTAAATCTTTTACATTATTTATAAGGGACCGCAATTTTGCATTCTCTATATTTTTACTACTGGTTTGTACCTAAAAATACAAATTAAAAATTATTGTTTTATATTTATATAAAATAATTAAGAAACTTGACAAAATGATTTACCTCCAACTGTTCTTCTTGTAATTCTTTTTGTTCGAGTTCAGTATATGGTTTATTAATTAATTCCAATGATTTTAATAAATAATCATATCTTGTGGAGTCTCTAAATGATGTTATTTTTATAAAAATATTTTCAAATAAGCTTTGATGACTAAAAAAGTAAAAAATCTTACATTTCTTTGTTGGATTTTTGATATTTCTTTATATCGTTAGTCAAATTATATACAACATGATAATCATTGACAAATTCATTATATGCTAATAGCTCACTGACAGCTTCTAAATATTCTTCTACTGTACTCTCTGATCTTTATAAACAAAACTAATATTAAACTTTTTTTAGAAATATAATTAACTTAAGATAGGTGTATATTTACTTGTTAGTAGTTTTGGTAGGTATATGAATTAAACACTGTTTAACACTTTTCACAAGTAATAATCTTGATGCGTGTAGCTTTTCTTGGAATTTTTCTAACTTATTCATAGCAATTACTTTCTTATAAATTAATGGTTTTATACTATGATAGAAGGAAGCTATTCTAAAATAAAATATAGAAATTAATTAAAAATAATTAGGTTTTATGTTTGTTATACATACTTAAGATGTAATTTCTCTTGGTAAAAAAAAATAGAAGCCAATGGATAAATTTCCAAAAAATTTGAAATACTATATGATGTGTCTAATAAAAAATTAATAATATCTTCTATCATACAAAGATTTGTTTCTTCAATTTCAGTAGAGGTTTTATTGCTTTGAGCTATGTGGTTATCATAATCAATCTCTAATTCAATTTTATCTTGAAATTGACTTAAACACTAACAATTTTGTTATTTAAAATATTTAATACAAAAATTACACTCAATTAATTATTTTATGTGACTCACTTTAATTGTAAATTGAATAGAGTGTATTAAATTTTCTTTGTATAATTTTTGACAAGTAAACAGTTCAATGAAAACTATTTCTAACTCCTTTTTATATGATTGGCCATAAATGGAACATATATCATATAACATAGGAATACTTATAATATTGTTATTGCATAACAAGCTCCACATATAATGAGGTGACATAAAATTCTCCTAATAAAATAAAATAAAATATAAACAATAATACATTTTTTAAGAACAATGTAAATATTAATACTTCATTTTCAGAGGACGTAGTTAGCCGTTTAAATAATTTATATGCAAAATGATCAATTTCATTGTAAATGGTCAACACATCACCATCCTGAGGAAGTTGATCCATCAAGTGAGGAGGAGCAGCTTCTTGAAGAAATGTACATAATCCCATAGTAGCTTGTTTGTTAAAAACAACTGTAGACCAAAATCTAAAACATTAAAATAATATTAATAATAAACTCAGATATATATTAATTATAATTATATTTACTCTTTAAAGGATAAATTGAGAAGCATTTTAAAGTCTTGAACCAAATACTTCATCTGTTCTATCCAACATTTTTTTTGATCCACAGCATTGGTGATAGATTTTAATGGATGAATATATCTCAAAAATTGTCTTTTAATAGCCAACTTTTTATCCTAAATATTTTAATCAAATACTTTTAAAACTATAATGATATTAATTAATATTTCATTATTGTAGCAAATTTTTTTATATTCCTAATTAATATTATAATAGTTGTTATTATGCTTCTATTTTTCTAAATTACTATACTCATATGTAAAGAATATATCTGCATTATACCTAACTATAATTAATGTTTCTATTTTGTTTACCTAAAAATATTAAGAGAACATTACACCCGAACATAGTGTACACATAGCAAATATGGACTAATTAATTTATTATTATTTTGATATTTAACAGGTGATGGTACAATACATAATCCAATTGATTATAAATACTAGTGTATGCCAAATCACTAAAATATTGAAAACAAAAACACATAATAGATTCTTCTGAATGCACATTTGCTAAGTATATCTACATATTGAGAATTAGTACCTATACTTTGAATTATGTATCAAAAGTGTAAGCTACACAATTTACTAAATAGAACATTAAATACAATAATAATGACTAAATAGTAAATATGCAAGACCCGAAGTGAAACCAAAAAACGAAAATAATAATTATGGCAGTATTAATTCCATAAATCTCTGAATATTTAAGTTAGATTATGTTAACATAATATGTAACAAATGGGTATGATTATTATAATAAAACTATTTCTGTTTTAAATTTTAAAAGCGAATTTTATAATTTACAGTTATACCTAATATACTTAATATCAAAATAGTTACACTATATTATGTTCATTCCAGTGCCATTTAAATAATAATGCTTAATAATAGAGTTAACTTTTATAGAAGATTGAAATTGGCTATATATTAGTCTACAATGAGGTCTACAATATGTATATTATATAAGCTTCTGTAAGCACATGAATATAACAATTTCATATCAAAGACACCATTGTAAGATAAGAATTTACATTATACAGTCAAATCACGATAACTTGAAAACCTTCTCAAACTTTTGCATAGGTACCCCTAAAATTCAAATTAATTTTTATGCCCCTTGAGGTTCTAGTTTTCGAGACTCAACTGTGTAATTTAGTATATTATTCAAAATTTTACTTCGACTGCCATTTAGGTGTTAGTTTTGATTACTTCGATTACTGCAACGAACCAAAACTTTTAATGCTTAATATCAAAACTTTTCAAATTTTAAAAATATATTATAATACTGCAGTAATACACTACCACATATTATTCACATCACACTCATAAGTTATAATTTATAATTCAGATAATTTACTATGAAAGCCAACAAGGACTTAGGACACAGAAAAATATAAAATATATTAATATATAGGTAGGTAAGGATCACGAATTATGAAAATAAGGTGGTAAAGAATGAAGAGTAAGGAGTACTAAGGAGATTAAGAACTGAAATACTGAATTCTAAAATAAGTATTAAGCAATGAGCACGGACCAAGATAATAATATGTGTATCACGATTATAAAGAACAGGTTATGCGTCGGAAGGAATATTTTCGGTCAGATTTTGTTACGGCGGTGTAGTTCTTAAAACCGCCGAGCGCTGCAAGTCATCCGTGTTACATAATATTAACATTTTCCTATACAAACCATGTTAAAACTAATTTTTTAATTAATTAATTGACAAACCTTTTGTTTTAATATTAGCAGTTTATTCATAGGCAATTTATAGACCTGCATTTTGGGTGTAGCCTACTGTATTTTTAGACCTCTCTTTTTTTATTTCGGCCCTACTAACAATGTATACAAACTTTGATAATATTAAATTATTTTTCATCAACCTGATTGAATTATTATTATTAATTATAATATAATTTTTAAGAGATGTGCGATGGTGTTTTAAAAATATTTTGATAAATTTTAAATTATTTAATATTTTTGTTTATTTTTTTTTTAGTGGTTTTGCAATGTTTGAAAAATGCCTATTGCCTAGTAATTTAATAAAATGTTCTTCATAATTTTGAAATGGAAAAATATACCTAAATTCACTACAATAGGGGCCAGTTCTAAAGACTTAATTGTGGGGAGGGGGGGCTAGATCATAATTTTCACAAATAAAATGATTATTCGGTGACGACAAAAACTATATCTCAATAATCAGTTATTATGTGGTCACTTACATTAGGAACCAGGAGTTAGAAATTAGTGTATATATTATGTATATCATTGTGTTTTTTAGTATTTAAAAGTATAACGTTATTCTGTGTAGTACAAAGTAAATAGGTACATTTATATATATTATATTTACATATACCAATTCGAGCCCTAATGTAGTGCCAAAACTAGAGTTTATTGGATTAAATTAGTTTAATCGAATTAACTCTACATATCAGATGGTAATTTCCTTTTTTTCACTGGGTTTGACAAATATTTTGGACCCGGAAATATACTTGGAACAGCATCATGAACAAGCTTTGCTCGTTTTAAATTTATCTATAAAAACGTTTAAGACATTTTTTTATAAAAAAAGATTCATTGAACAAAGGATAAGTTACAGTACCTAGGTAATACCGTGACTTTTGAAGCACCAGAACCAGATTCCCAAGTTCTAACAATTTGATCAGGTGAAAATGTTTTTCACAAATCACTGTCTTTGAGTTGACAACAAGATTAGCACGAGGAATAGATTTTTCCCATTTTTCCCTCAAAATTTCATTTTTAGGAAATTGAAACAGTGAATAGTGAAACTTTTTCTGGGTTTGATTTATATCCTGACGTACAAAACACAACCCAGCAAGAAGATGGCATGTTTCGATAATTCGGAAATAACTAATATAATAAAATAATAATATAATGACGTATGACCCCACTATGACAATAATATTAAATATTAATAATATGTTATACGATTCGTCTTCACAAATCACAATAGATGATTTATATTTATGACGACAATGAACAATTCGTTTAGAGCCCGGTTAACTAGCAGCGCCTACCTAGTGGTAAATAGCCGAACTATATCACCGTAACAATTTCTGACCGCGGTTGTGCCATACAAATCTTATACCGACGGATAACCATAGACTTAAAGAAATAGACGGAACATTAGTCCCGAGGACTGGGAGGCGTGGTCGTGCCAAACGGATTAAGAGAGACAGCATGAGTTTTATCATAAGAGTGAGAGAATTGGCCTCTGCTCCGAGGACAGCCAATTAGAGCGTTCGTTCATTTTTATTATTTTCTAAATGATAAGACAATTATTTGTGATAATAATATAAATTATAATATTCTTTATATTTTAAAAATTAAAATAAAAATTTCAAAATTTAAGTTGAAATTTTCAAGTTTAACTCATTTGTAAAATATAAAATATAATAAATTGTTAATTAATATCTGTTAGACTTTAGTATTTAAATTTTTCTTTGTAGTTTGTTTTAAAACTAAAAATGTTTCCTTGATAAATCTAAAATAAACATATAAAAACAATAAAATAATTATTATATTTCTTGTTATAATAAATATTACATTTTCAGCTAAAGTTATTAATTAATTAATTTATTTTATTAATTTATTGATTCATATGTGTAACTAATTTTGTAAATTTTTGCCTGAATGAAGATTTGAATACATCATCGTTTATCCTGGTTCCAATATGTCTAAGACGAACTTTCAAAAATAAATCTATAATCAGATTAATTAATTGCTCTCTATGATTATTGAATACACATTGATTAGATGTATGATCTTCAATATTTTGAAAAACATCCATGTAAATATCTTGCTTTATTTTAGTTTTAAGAAATAATAAAATATTATTTTTATTAAATAATACTGTTTGGTATTGTTTTAGGTAGGCTTCAGCATATTTACATATAAGTATGACATCTTTACTTGGATTAATTAAGTTACAACCATCCCATTGTTTGAACTGCACAAATTATACCTATTTTCAACATATTGTGGTGTACTTGATTCTGAACAACTTAATATTTTATTTTTGCTATGTGAGGGAACATATTGTATTTCAATTTGGTCTCTAAATTTCCAAAATGTTTAACAATTATATTTATATTACATTGACATAAAATATATACATTTTCTTAAACTTACTCGACAAGTTTTGGGAGTGCATCCTTCTTAAGTCTAGTACTAACATAATCCTCTTTTTTAAAATGTGATGAACATATGTATAAATAATTAGGTAGTATTCCTTTAATTTTGCATTGATTTAACCATTTTTGCCTCATATATGGATTACTAGGGAATCTAATTTAATAAAATGCACAAAGAACAATTAATAATAACTGCCACCCAACAACTACCAAGTTATTGACAGACTTGGGTAAAATACTTTTTAAAAGTATTTCAAATACATATTCTGAATACTTAAAAAAAAGTATTCCGAATACTGTACTTAGAATACTTGTAAAAAATACCGTATTGAATACTTTCAAAAAAGGTAGCCAAGTCTGGACTTATTAGTTATTGATATATAATTCATCAAATAAATATACTTATGAAATGTTGCCTTTTGATCATTACATTCGCACACAATGCATGTCTTCATAACTGAACTTATTATTCAAATTTATAAATAATATTTATAATAAATGAAAAAACATAAGTTTAAACAATTAATAAATATTTATAAATTTAAATAATGTATTATAATAGGACAATAAATACTTTAATAAAAATTATCTTTTATTTTCGATCTATTAGATAATAGATAATATTAGCCATTAGGTAATAACATAACCTACTTCAATGAATAATATTATTACAATTGTTCATAGTTTCTATAAGTAATAGATATTATAGATTATTTTTATTATAGATATATTTAAATATTGAAAATATTGAAAATTATTCCCGCGGTTTTTCAACGCCCGATCCTCGGAACAAGCTCCACCCACTTGCACGCGTTATCATACCTAATGTTCCGTCTATTTCTTTAAGTCTATGCGGATAACCTGTTCTTTATAATCGTGATGTGTATGAAGTTAGCAATTGAACCATACCATAGAGTATACTCTATGAACCATACATTGATAAGGAATTTCACATATTGGCCATAACCGATTTGTACGATAAGTTGCCTATGGTATGCCCCTCATCCAAGTTATAACCACTCATTTTCTTCAACAGTATCTTGTTCGATAGGAAAGTGAATCTAGTTGGTGCTTCGGGAGGTCAAATTTTAAAATTCCCAATAGTTTTCACAAGCGCCGGGAAAAACAACATGAAAATTAAGTAAAAACTGGAATTTTTACGCAAAATCGGTTTTCCCAAAAAATAAATTTTTGTTTTTGGTGTAACTCTAAAACAAATGAATGTATATAAATGAAATTTTCACCGGTTGTTTATATTTACATTTTCTATACACGATAAAATTTTCAAAATATTATGATTTGTTTTGAACTGTTTAAGAAGATTTTCATTTTCCATTTTATTTTAGTTTTTTTTTCCAGAAATATCAATAAAATTTTATTTGTTGGTTAAAAAAGCTTGAAAATTTAAGAGAAGACTCCTAGTATATTGTTTCAAAGGTAGATGAAAAGTATTAAAAATCATTAGTCGCAGTTTTTTTTTATAAGCATTTAAAGTTCAAAAATTAATAAAATATGGAAAAATCACGAAAATTAGCAAATTATTTTGAGTTATGAATTCGTTAAAATTTTTCTTTTTAAACCTAAGGTATGAAAATGTAATACAAGCTTCCTCATAAGTTTGTCTACCTTTATCAAAAAAAAAAATGTCTATAAGAAAGTCAAATTTAATTTTTATGAGCTTTTGAAATTCAAATTTTTCCAACATTTCATATTTACTCGATTTCTCATGTAGCGATTTCTTTATTTTGTTGTAATACAAAAACGAATAATTGTAGATACATGAAAATTTCACTGAATGTTTATATTAGCATTTCCTATACACCACACAATTTTGAAAATATTTTGACTCTTTTTGAGCCGTTTACGGACATTTTCAGTTTCCAATTTTTTTAGTTTCTTATTCCATAAATATCAATAAAGTTTTATCTGCTGGGTCAAGTGTAAAAATTTAATACAAGGCTCCTGATATATTATTACGATATCAGTTGAAAAATATTAAAAATACATCGGCACAATTTTTTTTATAAGCATTTAAAGATCGAATTTTCACAAAATTTATTAAATTTAAAATTTAATAATTATTTTGTAATTAAAAATGTATAAAATGTTCAACTTTTATATATAAGGATTGAAAATTTAAAACAAGATTCCACGTAAGTAGTTGATTCTGTTACCAAAAATACTAAAAAATACACAAGCACAGTTTATTTTTATAGTCATTTTAAGTTCAAATTTGGACGAAATTACATAATAAAAACCTAAAATAACTATTTTAGTTATTTTGTATTGGTTGTATAATATTATTCGTTGGTACTTGAAACTTCTAAAGTATACTATTATATTTCTATGATAGTATCACGGTGTGTTATTGATGTATAACGCATTATAAGTACCGAATGGATATTGTAATATGATTAATTTGGAATTTATTATAGGTAATTTTTTTTAATACCATAGACAAGTATATAATATGTCCTATACCTAGATTGACATATCGGCTCCGCTCGGAATCGTTTTTCTTATGCAATGATATTATATAATTGAATTCAAATTTAATACTATGCATTATACAGTGACCCACTTGTAACCTACAGAGCATAGCACCTTTTTTTAAATAAGAATAAAAAAATTTATTTATAGCCTATTATAGATAGGAAATAAGTATACAAGCCACAAGGTTCCTTCACCTATTATACTTTTATATAAGCTCAAAAGAAAAATGTGCCTTTTTGTTATTTTTGTTTTATTATGTATTAATTAAATCCACGGCAATAATGGTAATTGGGTGATATTTATGAGGATGTACAAATTATAATAAAAAGAAACTTAAATACTAGTTGGAAATAGATTATAAGTGGGTAAAGATGTAAAGTTATATATTTATATCATGTTGAGAAAATTGATGGCGATGATGAAGTTGAGTTGGGGTCCCGTTGAGTAATATTACGAGTGTGAATCCGGAAACATAGTATTTTCTTTAAACTGCACTATGCAGGGTGTATATACGGCATTTGGTAAAAATATGTTTGATGTCGATGCGGACCCCACATGTTGTGGAATACTGATTACTGGAATGTGGATATTGGGGAGCCCTGTTTCGTATGCGTAAAAAACAGAAAATCGAGAATTTCAGGAGGCTGTAACTTAAAAATAAAAATGTCCATGGATTCTTTTTGCTCCATTGTTCTTAACTCATTTATAATATTAGGTGAGTTCAAAAAAAAAAAATATGAATTCATGCTCAGTATATTATAATGATAAGTAAAAACCTAAAAATTCGGACCCTAAATTATATAAGTATATCTTATATAATATATCGTGTTAAACCTTAAACAGTAGGTAACTAAAGAGTAAGTCAATAAGTAGTCACTATAAGTAGTAATCAGGTAACATATAGTTAGCTAAAGACAGAAAACGTTTACATTTATTAGGTAATCAATACCATCATTATTCTAAATTTTCGCCACGAATGTAATATATACCTTGATAATATAGCGAGTACTGAGTAGGTACATCTTAAGCCAGTGACACCAGGGGCGTCATTTCAACTTTTTTAAAGGTATGCTAACATCAGGGCAGGCCAAAAAAATTTTCAGCAGGCCAATATATATTATTATATACACTATAATAATTAGAAAAAAAAATTTTTTTCGCTCCGCTCGAAAGTTTTATTTTTCATCAATCAAATAATTTCATATAATACCAATATTGTACACCCAATACTACACAGTTAAAACGTAAATTATTTTATTTTCAATATCATTATTTCATATTTATAAACACTAAGGAAAACAAAACAAATTCTGAAATCTTTAATCACACATAAGTTATTTATCTACTATCTACTACGGCGTATGGTCTTATAGGGGATATAGCATAAACCATAAATGATAGATGCCGATACTCGAGACCAATTATATATATAAAAAAAAAAGGTGGGCAAGTGGATGTCAATCTGCTGTACAGTAGGTTACAAGTAGGTCACTGTATAATGGATGATATTAAATTTGAATTCAACGATATAATAACATTGTACAAGAAAAACGATTCTGAGCGGAGACGGTACGTCAGTCTAGGTATAAGACATATTATATACATATCTATGATATTAAACAAAAAATTGACCTATAATTAGGTACCTATAATAAATTCCAAATTAATCATATCACAATATCCATTAGGTACTTATAAGCGTTATACATCAACAACAAACCGTGATACTATCATAGATATATAATAGTACACTTTAGAAGTTTCAAGTACCCACGAATAATATTATACAATCACAACAAAATAACTAAAATAGTTATTTTAGGTTTTTTAATATGTAGGTAATTTTGTCCGAATATGAATTTAAAATGTCTGTAAAAAATAACTGTGCTCATATATTTTTTTAGATTTTTTGGCTACAGTATGAACTATTTATGAGAATCTTTTTTTTAAATTTTCAATCCTTAGCTATAAAAACTGAACATTTTATAATTTATTAATTACGATGATTGATAATTTTCGAGATTTTGATAAATTTTGTCAAAATTCGATCTTTAAATGCTTATAAAAAAAAATTGTGCCAATGTATTTTTAATATTTTTCAATTGCTATTGTAACAATATATCAGGAGCCTTGTATTAATTTTTTACACTTTTTGGCCCAACAG